GCAAGAATTAGGGTATGATGTCTGTCTTCTTGGAGGAAATAGTTATGAACCAGCAGAGAGGGTATACTGTGCTGAGCTAAATCATATCCTACTGAAGGTGGTGATCCAGGGAAATTCCTACATAGTAGATGCTGGTTTTGGCGGTGCCTACCAAGCGTGGCAGCCACTGATGTTGATTTCTGGGAAGGATCAACCCCAGATCCCTGGCATCTTCCGCTTCATGGAAGACAACGGCACCTGGTACTTTGAGAAAGTCAAAAGGAAGCATTATATTCCCGAGCAGAGTGTCCCTTTGACTGATACTCCAGAACCGGGGAATATCAGAAAAATATATACATTCACTCTGGAGCCACGACATATAAATGACTTTCAGGAGCTAAACATGTACCTACAAGTGTCTCCAGATACCATACTTCAGAAGAAGTCAATCTGCACTCTCCAGACCACTGAAGGGCTTTATGCCTTGGTTGGATGGACCTTCACTGAGATAAAGTATAACTACAGGGAGGATGAGGACCTGGTGCAGATCACAACTCTCACAGATGAAGAGGTTGAGAAGACACTGAAAGACAAATTCCATATAACACTGGAGAACAAACTTGTACCAGTAAACATTCGTGGCTTGCCACCTAACTTGGTGGATACAATCTAATTCTAATGCTGTGCTAGATGGATCTTTAAATATCCAATATAAAAAGTTTCTAAAACTAACATTAATAACATTAATCTGGTTCTAAAGTTGAGCTAGTCAGATGAAAACAAAGCCTGGTAAATTCAAGTACATTGCGAATTAACTGCATATACTGATTGCATATTTTTTCTTAAGCTTCTTCTTCTCTAGAAACTGAGTCATCTTACTACCTCTCATTTGCTCATATGGAAATTGCTTTCTGACTCCATAACATTTTGTTCCACCTCTCTGGATCTCATTGTATTTCAGATATATTTTGTGGCAGACGAGACCAATATGATACAGAAGGAGAAGCTGTGTTACCATTTTACACAACAGACCTCTAACCTTTTTTGGTATTATTTCCAGTCTTCTTCTCAGCAGAGTTTTACAAATTATTCACTTCCTTTAATAGTCTGAAATAGAAAGCTGGGCTGCATTTGTCTTTCAAAGACTTCATAAAAAAAAAAGGAAGGTTACGACTTTCTCAAAACAAGCCACTATTAGGTGATGATTAGCTTATGATGAAATCAGTTGAAAGACATGAGTCCTATTCCCTTACCAGAAATTGACTTAAAGTGAGCTATTTATGTAAGAGCACTTAAAAACCCCCCAAAGCTCTCTAACTTTGAGTGTCCAATTTTTCCGAGTCTGATTCTTCTGTGTCTCTGAAATCAAAACAAAATCAATAGAAGCTGAGACGATTCAATGGTTCTTAAAAACCAGGTTTTTGTTATCAAAAATGGGAACAATCAAAGTTAGATCCATCTTTGCAAACTATAATCTAAATTTTTGGGACCTAACCTTCCTATGATGTCAATCAGTCATGACACTAGTATAGACAAAACTCTTCATATTTGTTATAAACAGTATTCTGCACAAAAGCTACCTTAAATAATCAATAACGCAGGTGTGAAAGAAAACACTGGGAAGGTAGGACATGCCGCTGGTGTGGTTTCACAGCATGTTATATGTAACACAAAAGCCACACCTACCTGTGGCAGGTACTGTAGAGGATGTGTCACGAAAGTGAGCAACAGAAGCGCATCTGTCGTCAGCCAAGGACACGACTCTGGTGCTTGGGTTAGTCAACCACAGAATCACCGGGCACCTGATGTGCCTGAACTCCAGTGCTTTCCCAGATGTAGTCTAATGGCTCCTTGCATTCCCAAAAGGGATATCCAACTTTTTACCTCTGTCAAACGAAGAAGAGACATGACTGACAGGGAGAGAACTAAATAAAGAGCCCTGGAACCTTTGAAGATGCAGAAAACCAAGTTTTAGAGAGGAAATGTGTTACTTTGTGCAAATAAATATCTGTCATGGTATTCGTTAGGTGCAGCAGCGCCAAAATAACCACCTGCTGCAGTGGAAGCTTTGAACAGACTGAAGAAGTTCCTTTGTGGACAAAGAAGGGTCATTTTGTGCATCTGCAGAGCCTGGGCAAACACAGCCTGCAACACCTTGGCAGTTGAGCATACCCACAAGGAAGCAGATGACTGTCCTCCACCACAAAGGAACAGCTTGCAAAAGAACAATAATTTCATGTTAAAAAGTTATGGAGCCATTTGCGACTGTCTGCTCTAATTATTTCACATGGAAAAAAAGTTCAGTCTGGTCTTAACTAGGGGAAAACATAAACATCTACTAATAGAGAAGAAACAAAGTTTAATTTGCTCACGGATCACTGAAGTCCAAAAATGTGCATTCACTTTGGGTGGACTCTGCCCTTCCTCGGCATTTAAGATTCAAGAGTGAGGGCCAGCAGAGCTTAAAGAGGAAGACAACCCTCACAATTTGTATCCACTCCTGGCTTTACCGACTGCTGCTCCAGTAATAAACAACCCAGAAGCTGCATACACCAATAAATAAATCAGGCTACCTTAAGAGGTAAGTTTATTTTCTTCAAAAAACCTCTCCAAACAAGGAAACAAAACCCCTGGTTTCTTTAGGTTGGTAAAGGTCATGGGCAATAACATAAACAATATTCTCTTTAGGAAAAATGTTATAAGAATATGTCGATATAGAGCTAAAATATTGCCTGCTAAAAATGGGCTCTTAAACTGGGCAAAACAGCAATCATGCAATTTCAGTTCTTGCATCTTTCCCTCTTCAGGAGGAGATTCACCTGACTATGTCAGAGATGCTTTTGTTTAGATACAAGAGCAGATATACATTTAGAACTACAGCCTCTTGTTGGAAGTTATTCTTTTAGATTTTTAGCTTTATTTAAAAATACTGCTCTTTTGCTTCCTTTGCATTTGCAATCTAGTAATCAACAGATTCTTTTTTATGGGAATAAAATTACAGTCCTTTAAAAACAATTTAAAAAGAAAAGAAATGACAAACTGAGGTTTGTGTACTGCAGAAAGTCCACGTGCTGACATATTAGGATAAAGGTAGACAGATAACATATTTTAACGGTGGAATTGCTGATACTGTGTATAGTCCTGGTAAGGAATATTTTTGTATGAGCACCTTCATTTGCACATTTAGAAATAATTCTTTAAAGTTCTTCCACTGATGTTTTTCTCTGCATAAATCATAGCCACATTTTTGGGACTACTTTTTCAGTATCTAGCTTTTCATCTGCTCCCAATTCAAAAGAACTGTAGCTTTCATCTCCTACAGTCAAGATCTATCACTGATCAATCATATTACAGAGCTGCAGAGAGAAATTACAAATAATACAACCTCGAGAACCAGCTCTATGCTGGTGGGAGCTATTTAGCATCCACAATTCGAGCGGGTAGGAGTCACTTGGATTCTGCAAAACAAAAGTGCCAGAAGTCCTATGTTCTACTTATGGAATATTACATTGAGAGTATCCTCCAACAATAAATATCATTGGAAGGTAAATTCCTTTCCGTATAAGATAACGTGTAGTTTTTCATGGGGCTCTCCATTCACTTTGGACAGCTGTGTCTATACCATGCACATGCATGTCATGAATCTGTCACTGAAAATCATCTTGAGAACTTCTAGTAAACATTCACTGGTTCACCACTGAATTTATCTGAATACAATAGTCTTCCTGAGTCGCTAATATTAATTGTCTAAACCTCAGCTTACCGTATGCACAAAAGATTTCCAGGTAGCTTTGTGGGTTGTCAAGTAGCTAAATATTTGCAGTAACTCTAGGCTGCTGAAACACTTGGTGCTTTCTTTGCAAAGGTTCAAGCTTTCAACATATTTTGTGCCCAGCCCCATACCCAAGCAGATGACCTGCAGTGTATTTTATAAACAGCATCTATCAGACACATCAGATGCAGAGCATCCAGCTGGGAATGGTGGCCAGCAGACTGTGATGGGCCATTGCCAAAGCCAGATGACTGTGTCTGGCTTTCCATGGTATCAGAAGGCAGAAAATAAGTTGAGTGGTTCCTCATCCAGAAATCTTGCTCACATGAGGAGTCCTACCAAGGCAGGCCAGGAGGTGGGCACTGCTGGAGGCAGGACAGCCCAGGGATGCACTGTACGAGGCTTCGGTAATTCTCAGTGATGCCTCCTCCGGAAGGAATAAAGTGAGTTTTGAGAAAAGCCAGGACTAGAGAGATATCAAGCAGCCCTCTCCATTCTCAGGCCACCCTGCGAGATGTGGGGCACAGCGGGAATAGAGATGTGCTCTTTGTCTTTTAGGTCACTTGCCTCCATTCAGATTCATTATCCCAACAACAAAACGAGTTTGTGCAACGCTCAGAGCAGACAAGAGACTCAGTGGTCTGTGACTCAGAGGTTTCTTTCAGTTATAATGATCTGAATAAAACTTGGCACTTCACAAAATGTGCAGGGAGTATCATTTTCACTTTTTTGTAAGTGGTGAAATAGCGACGCGTACTGAACGAGCAATCCATTTACCATCACATAGATCAGTGGCAGACTCATGAAAAGAACATGTGAATCCTGGCTCAAATTATCCTCCCTCCAACTGGCAGACGACACTGCTTCCCCCACTGACACTCCTTTCACCGAACAGCGCATTTAGACCAGTTTTCATGAACCCTCCTGCACACTCCTCCTTAACCCTGCCATTATAATGCAAATACAGCAAATCCCTGTTCCGCAGCCATCGCAAATCAAGCTGAAATTGCATCAGCTGTTTGCTGTAGGGATGGCTGTCAGACAGAAAGCAAACCCTCACGTGCGCTGCTCTTTGCTCTGGGAACCATTTGATATGAATCCTTGTTACCTTTAAAAACTGCTCTGATGAGGTTCAGTAAGTAGATTAAAGCATCTTTGCTGGCAGCAGCCTGGGCAGTTTTTCACAGCATCATAAATCATTGATGTAAAGAAATAAAACCAAAATGCATTTCCTTCCTTTACAGGAGACATGAACCTTGAAGAGTATTTTGCGAGAACTGGCTATAAAGGTTCCCTTGAAAAACAAGATTTGGAAACCTTAACCGATATATTCCAGCACCACATCCGTGCCGTTCCCTTCGAAAACCTCAGCATCCATTGCGGGGAGAAAATTACTTTGGAGTTGGAGCACGTTTATAACAAAATCGTGCAGAGGAAGCGGGGTGGCTGGTGCATGGAAAACAACCAACTGTTGGGCTGGGTCCTGAACCGCCTGGGGTATGACGCCAGCTTTCTGGGAGCATATGTATTCAACCCACACCAAAACGCGTACGCCACCACCATGACCCATCTCCTTGTAAAGGTCGTTATTGACGGCAAAGCCTATATCGTCGATGGAGGCTTTGGTGTGTCCTACCAGATGTGGCAACCGATGGAGCTCGTGTCGGGGAAAGACCAGCCTCAGGCTCCCGGAGTCTTCCGCTTCACGGAAAAAAATGCCATCTGGTACCTTGAGAAAATGAGACGGAAACAATATATCCCCAATCAAAATTTCTCTAATTCTGATCTTCTGGAGAAAAAAGAGTGTCGGAAAGTTTATATGTTCAGTCTGGAGCCACGGACGGTGGAAGATTTCCGTTTCCAGTGCACATACCTCCAGACGTCTCCAGATTCCCTCTTCACAAAGAAGTCCATCTGCACCCTCCAGACCACCGACGGCTTCCAGGCGCTAATTGGGTGGACGCTCACTGAGACCACATACAACTACAAAGAAAATATGGATCTGGTGGAATTCGTAACTCTTGAAGATGAAGAGGTGGAAAAAACCCTCAGAGAGAAATTCAACATAACCCTAGATAGAAAACTTGTCCCAATTAATGTCAAAGGAGTTTACACGATCTAGATGAGCAGGAAAACCTGGTCATAATAATGCTATGCTTGTACAGAACCTTCCACTGTCTGTGCAATCACTACTGTAAAATTATGGGATTCTTTTGCAGGCCATTGAAGGAAAAATACATTAATACCAGATTAAAGTGAATTTCACTCTGGGAAAAATAAGGAATTTAAGACTCTTCAGTGAGGTAGATAGAATTATTTGCTGTGAGATGACTGCAGTTCAATTTTTGGCACGAATGTAGGATCTGATTTGAATCTGGTTATAAACTTGGGTAATAAATATGTCTGGGGAATTCTGGAGTGCCTATAGCATGTAAGTAGGAGTCTGGATTATTAATTGTGATATGCTGCCAACACATTTTCTATGGTTATTACAGGGAGAAAAGTAATCTGTGAGCATTTAGACAATGAAGTACACATTTAAAACTTCATTCTTCACAAGATCTAACCACTCGCAGCTCATCTCATTTCTCTACCTTTAATGTAAGTAAAACAATGTCATCTTTGAAAGGAGCATTAGGAGGCATAATTCTTTCACCATCATCCTTAGACGAAACCTAGTACAAAATGAAAGTTATCATCACGTGCATCCCTTTTGTCATTGCTGCAGTAAACTGCCCAAAGTAATTTTTGCTATGTACCTATTTTCTGGTGATGGAAATTGTACATATTGCAGCATTACAGTGGCTGATGGGCTCTAAGGAGATACCTACAAGCTTTGCTTCTGATAAGTAATCATCCTATAAAGGGTGAATGGTGCTTAAACATCACAGCTGGCTTAGACTTACTTCTATCCCAAAAGGGGTGGAAATTTTGTATTTTTAGCATTGCAAGTTATTTGTATAGCAAAGGTAGAACCATGAAGCTAACCCCACCATACCCTTAATTTTGCCCTCTTTGTGTATAGCAAATATGGGAGGCCATATGGCTGTCCTGAAGGAGTACCACTTAGCACGGGAGTGTTACAAATGAGTTTGTTCATCTGTATCAAAATGAAAAAAATCAAGGAGACAGAAAAATCTAAAGGAATCCCTTTCTTTAAAATTATTTCACAATCACATTTCCCCATTTTTTTAAATTGTTATTTTTTTCTCTCAAAAAACACCAACAAAGAAACTACTGAGAAAGGGGAAACATTCTCAAATGCATCAAAAAAATACCAGTAATACTGAAAAAACACCCTTCCTCCCCAATCGATCATAATCCTGAGTATTGGCCAAATGTTGATTCCTTCCACTGATAGTCTTTTTGTTCAAAGTCATCATCTGACATAAATCTCACAAATGCTGTAACTGTATACCTGAAAATAAATAAAAGAAAATAAAACCATAAAGAGTTGCTGTAAACACAGCCTCCCCCCGCAGCTGCATGATTCCTGCACTCACCATTTGTGCAGTAAACGAGGTCTGTTCAATCCCGCCATCGATCCGCTGGCCAACCCTCCCCACCACAAACTTCTTGAACCAAAGAGGCCGATATTGAACAAATCTGACAGCGGCGTTGGAGATCATAAGTTCTTACAGGTTCCTGGAAAAAGAGCTTGTCAGCTGAGGAAGAAGACGGTCACTGAAGAGGAGGCCCAGTAGTCACCTCGGATGGGCTCAGCAGCAGTGGCTCTGGGCTGGCCGCAGACGTGCTGGCTTGTCCCTGCTGCCCAGCCACGGTGGCAGCTGGTGGCCCAAGTACATGCACAGGGATGAGGAACCCAGGGCCAAGCAGGAGGCAACAGGGGACGTGGAAAGACCTTACTGAGGCGGGAACACAGTTTTTCTATAAACAATGGAACAAAGGACTTTGTTCTTTGTGTTCGTATTATTCTCTCATCCTAAAGTCCCACTAAGGGTTTTTACCCGTTTCTAAATGATTGATCAAACCAAGGTGCTCCCTGAGACCCCAAGGAACATTATGAGCTTCAAAACACTCACCTCCTCCATCCTAGCCGGCAGAAATTCTGCATTCATCCAGGTCACCAAACCATATTTCTCTATGCAATGAACTACGGTTGTTCTCTCGTGCTGTTGCCTCTTGTCTTGAGGACTGCCATTAGCAGACCGGTTATTTTGCCTCCACACCTCTCTAGAGATGTTCCTGCAGTTGCTCCCAGGTAATTGCTCAGGTTATGGTGTCCAAGGGTTTCTTGGGCAGAAGTCTACAAACTCACATTGGCATTTTTAACTGTGCCTCCAATGATGGGACTCAACCCAGACACCCCCTTCTCCTCTCCAGTTCTTACTAAAAATCTACGGGGCCGACAATGACTCTGACTCCCTCTGTTGATAACCACTCAGTGGGATTTTTCCTCTCGATGTGACAATTACGACCAGGTCCTCACTGTGCAATGTCAGATCACATGAAGAAATGTCCACAGGTACAGCTGAGGAACAGTCTCACAGTTTAACTAAAGCTCCCCAACATCTGATGAAAGCAGGTTATTGAGGGGTGAATGCCAGACCCCAAATGGCTCAAAGGTTTGAAAATGGCATAAAAACAAACAAAACCAAACCACCCCAGAGGCTCCATGCTGGGCTGCCATTAGCAGGGCATTATTGGAGAAGGCAGATGCTCTCCCAGACCCAAAAGAAAAGAAATCACCAAGTCCTTAAAGCATCAGCTCTCAGAGAAACTTGCATTCACATGCAGAAGGGAAACACAGGATGCTTTACATCCTTCATCAACACTGTGGTTTTGCTTTACATCCTTCATCAACACTGTGGTTTATCAACACTCTGAGGAAGGTTTAATGCCAGCTTAAGCTATTGTGCCGTTGTAGTTGCTGGCTGTTGTTGAAATGAAGCAGAACAAACACCCCCCACCCAGGACTTGTCTAATTCCAAATACAATTTTAAAGTGTGGTATTCCAATCAACAGAAAGCCAAGACAATTTCTTTTTAAGTCCGGACGCTGGATTAAGTCCCAGAATCCCAGCCCACACGCCCATTGCACACACACGCAATGCCCAATGGCAACGACAGCCATCCATGATTGTAACTCTACAGCGGAGTGTCTGATTAGAAAACAAGACACATAATGGAAGAAACATGGTTCAAACTCCACGGCATCACTGAACATCCTCCCCTCTCCCCAGAGAATCAAAGTTTAATCAGCTCCTGCATTTCTAAAGGAAGGATACAGGATGGCTCATGTCAGCTGGACTCTGGTCCTGGACTTTTTAAGATCCAGTACTAAGCAGAATAAAAGTAAGAAAATGAGAAACATCATCAGGAAAGATGAAGTTGTTCAATACTTACATGTTTCCAACATCAGCAGTTGCTACAGAAATAAACAGTCAGCCTGTCAAAGGGAGGGACAAAACTTCACCTGACAAGAGACTTGTTTAAACCTACCACTGTGAGCTGTCAGCGAGCACGAACTACAACACACGCTTGGCTTTGTTTGCTCTAATAGATACCTTGGTGAAACAGGCACAAACACTTTGGGTGTCTGATAACACTTTACCAATGAAATTTTGCAAGTAGCTGTTTTCTTTAACAAAAATGCTTACTGCCTATCCCAACTTGCGTTTGTTCTCAAAGAAGAAATGCTTTTCATTTAGAAACATGACCACGTGGGAAAGTTCTACAGCTTACAAGTTGCACATGCAAATGCATCTGCATTTTAGACTGCGTCAGAGCCAAGAAAGCTTGAATTAATGTGAGTTTGCATTATGAATATTTCAGTGCTACACTTATATCTCTGTCAAGCATAGTTCAAGCACAGATTTTATACAGCAGAATGGTTCTACCCCGGCTAGGAAGCTAGAGACAGACTTAAAATACATATATATATCTATGTATTTATAAGGTTGGAAATATAGATGGGTATTTCAGAAGATGCCATCATAAAATGTCTGCTTGTAACTTTGGGCACTTAAAGTACATTTTAAAAAGTAATGTAAAACTGATTTTTAGTTTTGTCTTGCTCATAATAATGCACTATGAATGGTGCTTTTAAAAGCGCATTTTACAAACTCCCCATGAATAAGAGATTGTGCTAAAAATTAGTAGTTGTAACTGTAGCATTGAAACTGTAGCATTTCAATAGCTCACCCAGCCACCAGCTAAATGTGAACAGCACAGCACCCAGGTCTGAAGACAATAAACCAAAATCTGTAATTTCTTCACAGTTGGTGTTCAACATATTTAGGAAACAGAAGAACCACCTTTCCCCTCTCCCAGATTCCAGAATAACTGATTTTCTAGGAAGCTGTTTAGAGTTCACTCACATTCTTACCCATGCACCGTGCCACTCGCATTTAAAGCCATCCCTCACAAAATGACATGAAGTTAAGGCCCAACATATGGCAGAACACCCTTTAACGGAGCAAAATTACCAACCACTGGACTGAGCAGAACTCTGCAATGCAAGAGAGCTCTCTGCACAGAGCCTTGGCAAAGCAAGACCTCACACGGAGTTCATCTGAGCCATTAATCGTTATCAAAATTACCCAAGAGCTCCTTTACATGACGCCACTGGAATCTTCTCCAATCCACAGTGACATATCCTGCTGCTGGTGGTTCACTAGAACACCCTTTCCCCCTCAACCATCTGGCATAGCTATGCAGAAGTTCTCTCTCCGTTGAAGAAATGTGTTCAGACAGAGGGGAATCATTTTCCTACTAATAATCAAGAAAGAATAATGGGCTATATTCTGAGTTTTTCTTGTGATGACCAACAATAAATCATTTCTTAGCTTAGGTCACATCTTCCATGGGAAGAAAAATGTCTTGCCATCATTAACTTCTTTTCAGCTAGCAATAATATATGATCAGGTTTTAAGTAATTGAACCAGTAGCATTTAATTAGCTCTGAAAAACTATCTCAGATCATGAATCACAGACTTTCCACCTGTATGAGGTCTCCCTAATAGGTTAAAAGTGTATTTCTCTTTCCATGTGTGATCCATCTTGACTATCTAATGAAATGGTCTTGATATATGGATTACAGTTCATATATCATGCAAAATACAGCAGACACATAGCCTTTCTTTATACAATTGAGTTTCATGTCCTGCTTCACCGAGTTGTTAAAAAAAGAAAAGCCTCTTGTGTCCATGTCAGAATGGCCACTACTTGCTTCGGTTTAACAAATTCCTCTTTCTCCAGACAGTCAGCATTAAGGATGAGCAACTCAGACATCAAGCTGGGGAAACTAAGTTAACAGAAATAAATACTTCTTGTTGAAAGGCAGGATACCGAGAACTGCTGTGATTTTAGACAAGACTACAACACGATTTTTCAACAGGCCTGGAGCAGTGACTGACCAAAGGGCACGATGTTTCCATCCGAACATTCCTTCAGACGGCTCCATTGCACACTAAACAGAAGAAGGGAGTGCAGTGAACTAATATTTGGGGACATCTGTGGTCAGCACAAAACAGGATCACTTCTTGTATCACATTGTATTAGGCATCTTTTTTTACATCAAATTAGCTAAACCACAATTATTAACCACAAAAAAATAATTTTTATTCAGCTTTCAAATATTTTTCTGAAGCTGTTATTATGCTTTTATGACAAGACCTAGATAATTACAAGACTGGATTTTTTTGGCTGAAAAAGAGACAAGATTAGCAAACTTCTTTTGGAAGAGAGAAATTACGACTCACAATCTGCTTCAGTGTCAAACTGTAAACACTGCCCAACATTTGGCTTGCTCTATAAAAAAAAAGTTTTACTACAAACCCCTCTATTTTTAAATAAGCTTTATAAAAAACAAAATTCAACAAAATTGATTCTCTCTCTGTTCTTTTCCCATCTTAATTTTAGCACAGTTAAAAAAAAAAAAAAAAAAAAAAGATACATGTTTCTGCTGACTTTTCTCCATTTGAAGACAGCAGAGGTTTTAATTTTCATTATAAAAAAAGCAGTGAAAGTTGAACCGCCTTACTGGATTGGACAAAGGTTGTCTTTACTCCAAATACTTCTTTCAGATATTATCACAAATTGTAAACAATGTTGCTCTTCATTGCATGTGACACTCGATCTAGTTACGCACAACATTTAAGAAGGCTGATGGGCTTAGCATCCCATACATTACAAGCTGCTGAGAGAGGAAAGGATGTATGACATCCACTATATACGCATCCACTTTGAAAAATGTTTGTCATGTGGATGGTAGAAATTTCAATGAGAACAGACTCAAGATTTACAGATCTATCCTTTACATTAAATAGCAAAAACTCCAAACAATCTCCAGTTCGTGGTACTATATTTGGTAGATAACATTTCTATTAGCTCCAGTTGTGCAGTTCACATTAATCCTGAGGTTTTAAGAACTTTTTCTTAGCTTTTTTGCTAGGTCTCATGTTACTATTCCCATCTTCATCTTCATCGTGGAGTACACGTTGGTCTCTTTTTCTCACAAATTTCTTCCCTATTGTTCCCACTAATGTTTCATATCTGTAAAGACAATAAAAACCATACAGCTTTTACTAAAATCAGAGAAAAATTCAATGCCGCAAATCATAAATCTAATCAAACTATTTAAGTGGTGTAAAAAAGCTGGTCATCAGAAGCTTAAGCAGCATGAGTACTACATGATCACTTATGACATTACTCTTCATTCTGATGGGTTTGTTAGCAGTCTGGAACAAGGACAGAATTAGCATGGAATACCTGGATATCAAAGGGCAGAAAACCCCTGCAAGACATTTTACCCCCAGAAGTATTGGAAATTCTATTGAATACACACTGGAATTCCTGAAAAATCAGTTCTGTGAAGTACAATATTCCATTGTGGGGTTTTTAGTTTGGTTTGTTTGCTTTTGGGGTTTACATTCCCGCACATAATGCAGTAACATAGCATACTCCTAACTAATATTGATTATGTCATAAAATATATAATACCTTCTGGCCATTTCTTCATCTGACACATCAGCCTCCATTTTCTCCTCCTCTTCAATTTCTTCTTCCTTGCACTTCCTAGAGTTCATTTGGATCATTAACTTCTGAAAATGAAGAAAGAAATAGCTCAAACACGTAACCCTGACACAATGGTAACTATGCTCAAATTCACTGGTAGGAGAAATGTATAAAAGGTAAGAATCAAATTTTATAATTAATTGCTGTTCCCTGGTCAGGCTAGTGCATACTGCTATGAAAACTCCTGAAGAAAAGGCAACACGCCTGCTTGTTGCTAAACTGAGCTTAGAGTTTGCCTTTGGGAAAAGAGGCAACACAGAGACAGGGTTTTCAGTGAATTGTACTATTCAAACATCCTCAAGGGCATGCCAGACATCTTCAGGAGACCAGAGAATTAGTTCATAATTAATTTTTCATTGTGATGTTAGCACATAGTCCTTGGAATGGTTTTGTTAAGAAGGAAAAAATATCTGCAAGGATTTACAATAAACTACTAGCAAAACCTATGAAGCAATAATATGCCAAGTCACAGTGAGAGCAAGTTCAAAATAACTAAAAGAATCCCCTAGTATATCACCTTGCATAGCCTTCTGCATACCTCTTAGTCTTTACACCTTCATCCTCTTGCTTTATTTCAGCGGCAACATTTTTATTACAGTCTCACTCTAGTTCTATCAGCATGCATCATGCCAGAAAGAAATTAAAGACTCTCTTGCCCACTATTTTTGCTTTGGAACTTTAAGCTCTTACTTACACAAGTAAGTGCTGAATAACTAGGGTTGAATGTTTGTACGATTGGACTTTATATTAAATGGCAGGAAGAAAAGGGAGCTGTTGTTTTGGTGCGCAGCATGTGGGGCACTTTCCTCTCTTCAGGGAGGGAAAATCAGCAGGAGTCGTACAATTACTGACCATCAGCACAAGGAGATAAAAAGCTTCTATTTACCAAATGTTGCATTGATCAACATTCTGGTTTAATCAGGGATTTTCTGTACATGGGAGGATTTATGGAAGGCGCTGCAAAGGCCAAACAGCATGGAGTGCGAACACTCCAATCCCCAGCCCCAAGGGCTTCAATCCTAATGTGAGACCACCTCAAAACAGAATATTTAAACGGTACCTCAATTTCTGGGTTGAATCCTTTGAAGGACATTCTGCCATAAAGTAGATCCTCACATGGCATAAAGCTTCTCTCTTCTATTATATAGCTCCTGCATGAAACCGCAAACCCAACATTTGTCAAACAGTGAGCTTTAAAATAATCAAATTAAACAAATGGGAAAAGCGTTTGCTGTCCTCCCCCTGCAGAAATAAACAAAACCACAGTGTATTTTCAACCATCAACTGTTTTTTGAAGCTTAATTGCTCTGATAGATCTTTCAATACAAGATCCTTGGAATGCAAAGGAATACTTTTTGCCAGTAAAGCTGTGCCAGTTCCACAAGCAAAATTAACTCTCCTGACAAAAAGCACTCTTTGCTGGTATGATTCCACCTACATTAATGCTTTTGCCAGAATAAAAAAGCTACATAAATATTATTCTCCAGGTGGCATTACTATACCAGCAGAAGTTTCTAATTAATTTTTCATTGTGATGTTAGACCTGGCGTTAGTTTGAGTCTGTCAGGATAGAAAACACTGTGTAATTCTCTGTTCAGCAGAGGAAGATTTCCCCTTTCTCCCTCCTTTTTCCCTCTTTTAATGAGCACAGAGTGAGAAAAGAAACATGACCCCGAGGCGTTCATAATACACATTCATAATACGCTAGATAAAAGTACTTCCGTGAATTGTTCCATCCTTTTCCTCGCACACATACACAACTTTTCCCTCATCCTCTTCATCTCCCATGTAAAACAAACTCCTGTGATCATAGGAAGGTAGGCTGAAGAGATCAAGCTCATTCTCTTCCCTCGAGGTAGGATCAGTTAAACGTGTGCCATGAACAGCAGAGGTCCATCTAACCTGTCCTCAAAAGACTTCCAATGATGAAGAATCCAGAGCCTCAATAGCCTCATTGTTAGAAAAATTCTCCCGATGTCCAGCTTAAACCTTCCTTGCTGCCACTGCAGCTCAAATATCTCTTTGTCATATCCACCACCAGTAATGGAAAATAGTTTATCAATGACCTTATTCAACTACAGTTAATTCCCTGAATCCCTGCTTTTTAAAAACTACGTATGTTCTCCTTCAATGGAATTTTTGTCCTCTTTTGAAAGGACAAAAATCAAGCAATTTTAACAGGAGTTCTCTTGCTATTTGAAACACCTGGAATGGACATTTTCTTCCTTATTAGCTAAGTCTTTATTTCTGCCATTATCTCTCCTATTTCAAAAACAGAATTTGAAGTGAGCTGGACTCAAGAAGACAGAACTGTCCTGTGTGACTGGAGCTGAATTTATTAACACAAGGTTTCAAACCTCTTTTTTTAAATGAAGGGAAAAAGCAGCAGTGAATGAATTGGTCCCTGCCTGAAAGAAACTAATTACATGCATCTAGAAGAATGTGTGAGTGAAAAAAACAACATGCACAAGAAATGAAAGTAGGTCAAAACGCACTAGGCAACCTTGAGAATGTCCCTGAAAATAAATAATAAAAAAAAGCCTTAACACCAGTCTGTCACTATTTTTGCTTCTGTTAATTGGTTATTAATAATACTTCTTTTATAGGAAAAAATATGTCTATTCTATTCCCACCCCACAACAATCTAATGATGATACAAAGTACAAAAGGGTACAAGCTTACTCCTTCTCCTTCAGATCTGGTAAATCAAGATACCAGTGTTCTTCACTAATTATCTTCTTCTCTTCTTCTTCTAGTTGTTTTTTAGTATGTGAATCCAAACCCCTTTGCATGAACTAAAAAGACACATAAACACACAGCTTCAGTTTTTTGCATCATTAGTATGTGCTGAACCTGCAATGATTACATGACAATAATTATCCGTCACATACTATTTAGCAGTTGATATAAAAAGTAAATGCTTTTTGTGAGTTTTCTATGGGCTTGGTCTAAGTTTGGGTCAACAGGCAACAGAAAAGCAAACAACTGCTGATCACAACCATCACTGGAAGTCAACAGTCAGCCACATCTGTACTTCACACGAAGAAACAGACCTTTTCCTGGTTAGTTTTGATGGATCTGAGTTGTTACAACTCCGTAAATTTGACAAGATTTTTCTCATGTTTCAGCAAAGGCTGAAGAGAATGTAACGGTGTTGAAGTTATTGCTGCATATCAGAAACCAACATCACCCATACAAACAGCGCTGGAGCTAGGTCACACCAGGTTGGTCATTTTTCAAAATATCTATACTTTCAACCATCCTCTTATTTTCTCAGATGTCATTTAACCAACTGGTTTGGGTTTGCAGTCCTGAAGGCTAGAACCTGCCTTTGGAAGCGGAAAAAAGTAACTGAGGCTATGAAAAAAAGTCTTTTGTATCCAGCTTTTGTATCCATTTAGAGCAGCATCATTTTTGTGTTTAGATAAGCCAGCAGGCTGACAGATAACGTGCCACTGGAGCACATCTGTCTCTTGTACACTAGTAGAGACTCAGACATTGTTTAGGTCCCAGCTAAAATGGGCTTGGTCGGGGACAAGGCCCAAGAAGGCATCACAAAACACTTTCCTCCCACTAAAATCCTGTATTACTGAGCTTATTTAAAACATATAGGTAATAGATATGTGTAATATATATATTACTTACAATGCCCCCCACCTTTTCAGTCTTTACAAAATGTCCAAGCAACACAAACCAAGCCCCGAAGTAAAAGCCAATATAGTGCTTGTGTCTCATTTTCCATTTATATTTCTATTTGCATCCATTTGTACAACATCTTTAATGACAGAAAAAATTGACTTTTGTTTTCCGAGTCAATCCAAAATATGTCAAAGCTTTCCAATTACAATTAAAGTATCTTCTTGAGGAAAATAAGGGAATCTATCATGTGGAAAACCATATTGCTCAAGGAAATTGGTTAGCCAGTCAGAAATCTCAACAGGAAAAATTCTGCTACAAGCACGCAATTAAATAATAATTTCACATTACATTTTAAAGATTATGTTCCTAAAGATTACTACAGGAATAACTAGATAAAAAATATGTGATCACATTTATCTAAAATGTAAACACACATGGATGAATTAAAACCCATTATGGTAATAGGCACAGAGTAGGTACGTCAGTAACTGTGCGGTTATTTGGATTAGTTTCCCCAAGCAATCTGGATCAAATGGTGCAAGATCTAAAAGCAGGAGTCATCCTTTGACATCAAGAGGTGAGCACACCTGGTCCAGTACTTAGCACAAATGCTCTTCACAAGGCTACCACTGACCACACCGTCACCTTTGGGTGCCACTTCACCAACCTGCTGAATTGTGATAATACATCTTATCAGTACCTGCGGAGGCAGCTGCTAAAGGATTAATTAAAACATTTGTAAACAAGATCTGCAGAAGGAAAGTGCTAAATACAAGATGTGTGTATGACCTTTTCAAAACCCTCTCATCTCTTCAAAGCTGGTTACTACTGCCCCGACTGTAAACCTGTAAATGTCACAGCAGTATGTTCAAAGACTGGTTCTCCACAGCCTCCCAAGGAAGAAAATCTAAAAACTGGTTTTTGAAATCTCCAGGGGGTTAATAAGCTGGCAAACAACAGAAGTAGAATTTTCACTTTAAAAGAGAGTATTGCATAACCTTAAGAAAAGATAATGATGCCGCAATCCAGGTTATGGGAGTCTTACTCTGTCATACACTGCTGGCTAACTAAGCTCAACATCTACTGCCTTTGGAGAGTGAGGCCAGATGTGTTCCATTCCCTCTGTGGACAAGGTTTAGTCTTTCATGAGCTGCACCTGTAAATTCGGGTAAATATTCCACCATCTTACTGTAGCAAAGTACACTTTATGGGAAAGACTGAACTGAAATCAGCTGAACTCCTTTCAGATACTGTCTGAAATATAGTCCCCTATAAATATGTGGGGAAAAAAAATGGTTAAATAAAACACCAAAGCAAGAAACCACATAGGCCCCATCATATCCAGTTATAAAAAGTTAATGGATATTAACATTTAAGAAAAAAATAACGGCAACTCAACTTTTACTGTTTGTTTTCTGGCAATGAAGAGCCATCAACCCCAGGAGAATGCACTGGACTGAACTGGGTGCTTCACCACGTGAAGCAGAATCCATTAGCCAGTAAGCGGAGACTAATTTCACATTGGACGTGACAGGAGATTCAGAATTCCAAGGATAAGGGGCACGTCAGGATGTTACAAACAGCCCTTGATGAGTTGGGAAAGGCGGTTAACACTGCCATTCAGGTTGGGTATTTTATTAGCCACCAATGTAAACAGGCAAAAAATGAACACAATAAAAAAAAACAAAAAAAAACCAAAAAAAAACCCCCAAAAAAAACCTTTTTAGTTACGGCAAGTAAGGCAAGCAACACTAACATTTTAATTTCAACATGTGTGCGGTGGGGGAAGAAGCCTTATCATTTTTATTCACGATAAGCAACCTCCCTGGAGAGAAACTGAGTGGAATGACAGGACCCGAACGGTGCCCACAAGCTGCCTCTTGCCAGGGTGAGGCTTTGGCTGCGACCACGAAGCTGCTTTCCTGACCAAACCCTCCAGCACCCCACAGTTTATAACCCCCCCCGAGGTCTCTTGCTAGTGTTTAGGCAGCTCGATACTCCGTGAAAAGCTGCGTGCCTCAGGGAAAGGCCAAGAACCCGAGCAGAAGCTCAAACGTGCGTTCCGGGAGGAAGGAAACACTCTGCCCATGTGCCAGCCCCTGCATGCCCGGCTGTAGGCACGGAAAATGACCCAAACCTCCGGCGATGGCCTGCTTTAGCCGGGAGACCCCCCCTCCCCGTTCACAGCACGGCGCG